CATCCATCCATCCATCCATCCATCCACCCATCATAGCTGCAGCAATGTGTGCTGTCACGTGCACACCGGAAACTACATCAACAGTTTTCCGAACCCACTTTGTCCAAAGAAATATTTATAGTGCACAAAGCAGCCTACATACCCACACACCCTGATTTTGCCGACTATGGTACACACACACACACACACACACACACACACTCCAGCAAGTAGCGCCAAGGTCGCAGCTGAGCAGAGCAGCTAATGACCTATAATAAGACACAACCTTGACTGATGGGGACAGTCAGTTAACTTGGCTGTAGCAGCCAATAGCTCCACACATACAGCCGTGCACACACACACACACACACACACACACACACACACATACACGATCTGCTCTTTGCGGCTCAGCATCATCTCTGTATCAGCTCTTGTCCCTGAGGTGGATTCTGACCTGCTGTACTTCATTTTACCTCATCTTTTTCAGTACTTGAATCTTTAAGCCTTTCTGTCCTGGTTTTTATTTGTTTATATATTTGTTTTTGTTTTTTTTGGAGTTCTTCTCTTTGAGTAGCAATGATTTCCTATTACAGTAAAAGTAAAAATAAACTCTATGGACTGGAAGCTAACTATTGATTTCACAAGATGATATTTGTAAAAATGACATGTATTTCTTTCAAGTCCCTGAGTGGATATAATGAATAAAATTGGGTTTTATGATTTTCATTAACATTATAACACGTCATTTAGGAGTTGTTGTTTTTTAAGGTTAAATGTTGCATTGTGAATTTCAAAATTAGGTTACTTCCTTGTCTAGAGCCTTTCCCACACCTTAAACTGCTTCCTCTAGGTATGCAATATATCTTGGAGTAACCACTTAATCAGTGAGTAATGATGTAAAAGATATGCAAAACACATACAGCATTTTCAGGAAAAGTGTATATACACTCATTCTTTCTATTGTGTTCCAACAGCAATTTGTGCCGCACCTAACATGTTTGTGACTGAGTCATAACATTACTGGCATGAAGGTGAAATTGACTAAAACTGCTGAATCTCACTTCTGTCACCACATCATAATCTGATACTACAGACCTTTTGCGGCCAATTTATGCAGCTGACAAACACTCATCAATAACACATCCTGATATTGTTTGCTCTCTTTTGATACATTCAACATATTGAAACATACAATCCAAAATCATTTACAGTTTCATTCAGACAACGTCTGACCTTGTGGCAGCCCTTTTTCCTGGTGTTGTGTCTATTGTGTCATTTCAGGTTAGTTCAATCATTTCTTCTAGTTGGCCACATCAGCAACACGTTTAGAGTCGCCCTTTATCTGTCCAAAGGGAAGGTCCCAGAGAAGTTAAAAAGTGCACTGTGGGTGTGGAGATGGCTGACACACAGCTGACAGCACCCCAGTCAGCAGCACACACAGAAACACTGGGCGACATCACCCTAGTCAGCAGCAACACTAACAACAGCCTGACTCGTTTTGCTACGTCTCAGTGGATCAGATCAAACCCTCAGTCTGACAGGTGGAAAGGTACGCAAAGCGGACCAAGTGGTAAAGCCACTGCAACCACGACAGCTTCTGGAGCAAATTATTAGATTTAGTTGTTTTTGGTGTGTGGAGAAATCAGATGGATCAGATGTATCAAGGACTGTTGTGGCAATAGAAACTTAAGCTGGTAAATTCACATATGCATGCTACAAAAAAAAAATCAGATTTCAAAATGAATACAAATTCATACCCAATTCTCAATTTGTGAAACTTAAACCTGATTTAAATGTTGACAATAACTGAAAAGTATGTTATATCATTAATGAAGAACTATTGAGTTAAGGTTCAGTCAAACATGAAAAAAAGACCTTATTCAGTCAGTAGGCTTAAAGAAAGCTTATTCAAAGGGTCATTCTCTAATATAAGAAATGAGAACAAAAGGCTGTTTGTTTATAGTGGTTAACTAAAACAAGGTAAATCGGTTTTGTTGTAACTCTTTAGTTATAGACTCACGACTGTCCAAGTAGGAAATAGTTGGATGGGCCATATGCTACTCTTAGTCCACAGATACCAGACATTTACATCACAGGGAAAATATTGGGTGTCTCTAAGAACTCAATAACAACTCAATGTTCGTGAATGCAGTCAGAAAAATAATCACCAGCAAATTAATTATTAGGGGAAAAAGATAAAATATTGTACCAAAAATATATGCTAAGAGATAATGGAGAAAAAAATAATATGGGGAAAGAGATACATTTCCATGACTCAGTTTTATAGTTTGGAATAGCCGGCTCATGTTGTGGCGATGAGCTGGCTGGGTGAGGTGAAAGCTGATACATTGAGGATTAAGTTTCCCCATAATCATCAATATGATAACTGTCTTTAACTGTTCCTTTATGATAACCATTAGTGGAAATATGAGTGGCAATTGTCATCTGTCTTCTCTGAAATCCTGCAACTATTTTGATTAATGACCGATTTGCTAGTTTTCCTCTTAATTATCAGATCTATGACTTAGTTAAGAAGACTTACAGTATGCATAACGCTCATTTTAGATATAAATACAATGTTCAAAACCAAAACTTGTCAAGCTATTCAGCCCAGCTGACAAGTTGTGTCTGTGGAGCTGAATTTTTTATTGATCGAAGGGCCAGATAAAATGCTAAAAGTCACCGCTAGCTATATCTCTGGTCTAATCAAGATTGCATTGATGAAAATGAGGATAACAGCATATTATGAAAACAGCAACTCAGTGGTGAAAACTTGAGGGTTTGCAACAGAGGTCAACACGGAGACAAAACTCTTTGCGAACAACTCCAGACCAGGCATTGATTTTCCTTCTCTGGTTACACTCAGGATGAACAGGGAAGAGGGCAAGAGGGGAGGACAGCAGAAATCTGACAGAGTGAAAAAAAACTTTTAAAAAAAAACAGTACACTGTGGGTTTGAAATGGAGGACAATAAAGGAAGAAGAGGTGGGAGCATAAATCTTGGCTTTGCTGTGCTCCCAGCATCTTCTCTGAATTTAAGAAAGAGCATAACATGATTACTGTGCAACTTTTCAGGAATTTAGTGAGCCTGTAGCTGTCCAGGTGCTGTTAAAACCGTCTCTGATAAAACAAACATCCATCCCACAACATGTTGATAACAGAGTGCAAACACGCTTGGCAAAGCCACTTCTGAATAATTCAATATCAAATATTAAGAACAGAATGCTTTCCCTAATTTCTGGCTGTATTCACAACTGTTAACAATAATCTAAAGAACACACACAAACTGCGGCCATAGATTGCTATGGTATTTATGTGTTTCTACTTGTGAGTAAAATTCTCTGTCCAAAGGGCTGTTTTTCCAGTGATCTGACACTGAAGCAGTAGGGTAAAAGAATACCAATTCAACCTTGAAGCTATAATCAACCTTTCCTCAAAGGAAGCGTTATGCTGGATTACAGAATGTTGCACATGCTTGCTTTAAAGGCAAACACCACTCTCCTCTCTGGTGGATGGCAAAAGTGATAATTTAATTTCATGTTTTGCTTTCCATTGTATTGCACATGGCACTCAAGACCACATATGGGCTGTGAAAATCCTGAATTTTGATGCTAAAATGACACTGCTGGCCTCTCTGGATCACCCCCTTTAATGTGCAATAAGGGTTAAATAAAACACACACTGTGGTAAATTTTGATTCTATAAGCGGGACGTTGCAGGAGGTATATTTTTTTGCAAAACTATGTCAGTAAAGAAGAAACAAAGCTGATGTGGACTGAACCAGATTGGATGCTAAAGTTTGTGTGGAAGAATGAAATTCTGCACATGCAAAAACGTATCCCTGCACAATCTGGTTAAAGCATGTTCAGACAGAAGGGTGAATCCCTGGTTGGGTGTTGGTACACGGAACAGAGGGAATGTGGGAGGGGTGAATATTTTTTTCTCTGATAATGAAATGAGTTGCTTTTCTATTCCCAGCGGGGGGACCCCGCTCGCGTCCCCTCCCATGCCACCACCTCTTCCTTTCCCCTACACACAGACCCTATTTTGCTTCCCACCTCTCACTATCCATTCCTCTCCCTCCCCCCACATGAGAGAGCTCACTGCGAAGCAGTGTGATTACCATCGATCTGTCCACACACAGTCCGTTTCCTCAGCTCCAGAGCCTCTGAGCTCCAGCATGCATGGCAGGGCGGCCACAAGGCCATGACCACGTGCTTTTGTCCTTGGCCAGAAGCAGAGGTTTTTCTTCTTTCTTTTAAATAAAAATGAAAACGTCTAATAAAACGCAGCCAAGGTCACAGAACGCGCACGAGCACATGTAAGTACAGGTGTGGACCCTTTAAACAAAAACAAATCTATCAAGTCAAAGAAGCTGACAAAATTGATGGCCGCATGATTCCACTTATCACTGCACATCATGGTGGAGTGGCAGGTGGTTAAGTAGAGGATGGGAAGACATGGTGGGGGCGGGTAAATGAAAGTAATTATCAAGCCGTACAGGCGTGAGTCCCAAGGGTCAACAGTATGGTGTGTGTGTGAGGGAGAAAGAGAGCATTATTTCAGTGGGACAAGCTTTTCTGCCCGTGTACGAGGAACACCTGCCGTATAATGCATAAATGGAGAAAGGCACCCATGCCAGTGACACACCATTCAAGAGTCTGATGGAAGAGGTCTGGCGCTGATGCACAGTAGGGGCTTAATCTGCGTGATTTCGTCAGTGGGGGCATAATCTCTCACACACACAATGAGTTACAAATGACCCCAGGACAAACTTATGCGTTAAATAAGAAGGAAAAATAAAGGATCTGTAGGAAGCATTTTAAAAATACCTTAAGCATAACCCTAATTCTAACATGTTTTCATTGTTTAAATGCTATATGAATAGGAGGCATATTCTACCCCCAACTCCCAATGCAGAACAGCCCAGTTATCACATTTAGCTTTTTCTCTCTTATTATTCTCGGTTTTCAGGGTACCATGTTATCTACTCTCATCTCTCTGCACCACCCCCACACCTGCTGCCCCTTAGCCTCCCACCACCCCTCTATCCTCAGTCCATTAAGTCCCTGCTTCAGCATCTCTTCATACTTTGGTCCCAGCCCCCTTCTTGTGAAAACTGCATGCTTGACACTTGTGACGGGAAATGTCAAATTGTTTGAGCTGACATGAAATCATAAGTAATTTCTATGAAGAGGTTGTTTGAGAGAGTTTATCCTCATTGTCAGGCTAATGTTCATTTGGCAAGATTTCACAGGACATGCTTCAACATCAATACCAGCATTCAGTTAAAAAAAGCAGCAAGAAAGACGCCGCTCACCTTCAAATGACATTTGGGCATGTGATCATGCTTGCTCACTGCCTCTCTAATTCACATTTTTATCTCTAACTGTCTCCTTTCCATCACACACTGGCACATCATCTATTTGTCCTTATCTCCTCCTCTACATTTCTAATCCCATCCCTTTTTCTCACCACTTTTCCTTTTGTGATTCTTCAGAGAAATAATGTCCAGTGCTCGTGTGACTATTGAAATTAATTGTAGTCCTGAACACGAGGTAAATCATGTGCACAAAAAGGGGAAAGAGAACCACAAGTAGATTTGTTTCCCTTATGCATAGTGCTGCAAACAAATCCAGTTACAAAAGCTCCATAAGAAATTCCATCACCATTCTGAGATGCCATGAACACACCATGTACCCATGCAGCAGTTCTCAGTAAGGACCCTTGAAGTGGCGGATCAATAATTAGAACAATCCTTATTACATGCTCTCATTTCCCTTTAGGGACTGAAGCTAATGTAGAACAATAGCAGCGTACAGAGGAGAGAGGACGTTCTATTGCATACTGGAGGATCCTACACGTTTCTGGCCATGTGAAACACAGGGATGGGATTAAGACTGGTTGATCAACTTGTGCTATAGTCTGTGTGAGAGGGGGACACGGCACAGCCATTTCCAGCCACAGCAAAAAGAAGTTCTGCCTACGTTTGAGATGGCTCCAGTTTGAAGGATCTGGTGGAAGGAGTCAAACCTTAGACAATCAAGTACGACATTGCTAGTGAAAACTTTCCCTTCTACCGTATTTTCCACAAGGTACTGCTGTGCTGTGATGATTTAACTTTAGACTTTGATAACCACTACTGGTTATGATTAGTAGAGTTAATGCACGTGGGTAAGATTAGGCATTAAAAGTTTAAAACTATGCATTGTCCCAGAGAAGAATTGATGGTCATGTGACACAATGCTACCTCATGAAAATGAATTACTTTATACACATCACCATCTTAAAAATGGGACCTTTTTTTGGATATTGTAAATTCTCACTTTTGACACAGCAAAAATCTAAACCACATGGTGACACAGGGTTAGGATTTTCAGATATTTTGTTAGCATTTAAACAGGTGCAGTATTATGACAGTAAGTCATCTTAGGGTTTATGTCCAACCAATGTCACATAATTTAACCAATCCACTACAAATATGCATATCTTACTTCTATAAGGCAAGTAAAAATACTATATACACCGTCACTGTTACGGACAGAGGCTTGGCAGAATATGTGATCCTCAGTGGTCATACAGCCGGTGGCCATCTTGATTGTGAAAACATTTTGTAATACTGGGAGGAGTTCCCAATGCCAATGCAATTAACTGAGGCATGCATGAGTACCGAATTCATTAACCTCCATCCTTCATGGGCTGATGGGGTGGGGAACGAAAGGAGGAGGAGGAGGGAGGGAAAATACATGCCAGCTTTTTTCAGTCTAATTTGTACAGTAAATGAGGAATATGAAAATAGAAAGAAAGAAAAACATTAAAATAAGAACAGTACGTTCTGTCTCCTCCTGAAGAATTTTCTCCACAGTTTAATGTTCCCCTGAGGCTCAGAAAGTCTCCTACAGTGCCACTTTTGCCATGGGCCAGCTCTGAAAAAAGAAAAGGGCTCAAGTCCAATTTCAACACTAACATTCTCCCTTCAGCATTGATTCCATTGCTCTGGCTTCAGGCCGATTGTTGATTCAGACCTCTAAAACAAAGAGGGATGTGATGAAGTGAACATAGCAATGTTAAAAAAGGCACAACACACATTGTGTCCAGCAAAATCCAATAAATTACCAAAGTGTAAGAAACGGTTTTCACTTGGCCTATATTGAACTCATGAGAGAAATGAGAAGTACTGTACCAGTGCACCTCTTTGTACTGGAGCAGTGTTTGAAACTGGGACACAGCATGAGGAAACCTTTGCTTTGCTTAGCTCCCTCTCTGGGAATCCACTGGGAGCTCCTGGCTCTAGATAATGTCATTAGAAGTAAAGCAGCTTGGAGAATTTATCTTACACCATAATGGGGGTTTCCCGTTAAGACGACCACTGCAGCTATGAAAACCAGTCCCATCTTATTACAAACACACCTGGACACACACAAAGAGCGTCTAAGCCTCACAGGGAACCATTTGACAATTCCCAGAGTACAAATGGTTGGAACTGAGGAACCTCTTCTCCCTGTTTGCTGCTTCCTGAGCCACCCAGCGAACCGGCACACACAAACACAGACATGCAAAACACCAAGATGTTGTTCCTCTGTAACAGGCTCTGTCCCCAGGCTATTTCTCCTCTATCTTACATGACAGTCTATGCCTGAAATCACTCGTTATTACAGCTTTCTGCCATTTATGTACATGAGTTTTCCAACGTGCGGTGCACATTAAACTGTTGTCTCAAAGATCAAAATACTGAAAAAAGCTATAGAAAAAGTTCAAGCTATCCCACATCTATCGATTTGTAAGAAAAAAAACTCATTTTAAAAAGTCTGCACTGATGGGATAGGATTGTTTCTCCACTGTCTAAATATCTGTTTTCGCACTCAGCTTGTCATCTTTTTTTTGCTTAATGACATCATCAGGCAGCACAGCTTTTTGACTGCCTGGTGATTAGTTTGCCATACATCACACATACAATAAAAACATGATTGTACTTAACCATGTTTTAACCAGGCTTACTTATTAGCCATTCTGAAAACTTTTAACAGTTAAGGTCTGTCATTGATTCCTCTTGTGTGTAACGCACCGTTTGCACTTGACAACCTTCTTTGAGCTGATTCAGCATGTTGAAGTAGTCTGGGATTGAGAAAAATGATTGTGTCTTATTATTATTTGAAAAATCTAGGATTTCACCCACTGAGAGCAGTTTCTCTCTGTCCTTTCTAATGATGTTGTTCCATCTTCTGTCTAACCCTAACCACCAACAGGAAAAGCAATGCCGACTACACGGCAACGGCAATTATATAATACTTACCAATGTTAAAAAAAAGATAAAGATGTAAACAAGCGTAAACATCATCTACTGTGTTTTTAATTAAAATATTCACATAATTACCTTTCAAATAATGTTTATAGAGCTGCTGTGAGCATAAAACCTGACAAGATACAAAAGATACGTTTTAAATATGTATGTTGTTTTAAGTTGAGATGGTTGTACTGGAATGTAAAACTACATACTATGACCTGTACAACGATCATCTCAGTTAGTGACTAACGCAACCCTGCGTTTCCAAGTGTTCTATGCACAAAGTTTTGTACCTTTGCTGTCTACTAAATATAGCATTTGTTGGGGAGTGACTCAATGCTGTTTGTTGTGCACCGAGGCAACTATTTCAGTTTGCTTCAATCACCAACAGATGTAAAAAGTTTCAGTAAAATACACAGAATGTAACAGGGATTAATTTTAATGCTTGCAGTTCATGTGTCATTTGCTGTGACACGGCACTGTCAGTTTGTACTTAGGGACAAAGTAAGAGCTGGAATCCCATCAGCAGGGGTAACAAGTGCATGAGCAAGGGCAGCCAGAGATTAAAACCATATGAACTAAAGCTTTAAAGAACTCAGTGTGTGCAGTGAGATGCAGCTTAGTAAATGAGTAGTCAGAGCTTGATGATCAACAGTTTACCACTAAACTTTCATTGAACCAAAAAACGACAACTGATGATCAAATTAACTTTGCCAATTGACTTTGTTTTGTCACGATGCATCATCCCAAGATGGCAGAGGGAGCCAAATTCCTCGACGGACAGTTTTAGAAAATAAAGTCACTGTAGGAGACACACGACTGGAGTATTGATGAGAAGTAGGAACTAAGCCAAAGAAGAGACAGGTAAAAGAGGACAAGAGATGGAAACCAAAACAAAGGGACATCAAGTGACAAAAAAATAAAGAGCAAAATAGGGACACAGTGAAGGACACAGTGCAGGCCAAGAACAAAAAGCTGATTATCCTCATGCACATCCAATCAATACAACGCTCTCCTCTTTTCACCATCTCTGTCTTTTTGGTCAGCCCACGACTCTTGACCAGGACTACAAAATAATACTGTAAACGTACTTTTCTGAGTGGAAAAGTCCAAAAACTCACCTGACCTCAATAAGCTCATTTTTATTTCACAAATATTTGACCATGATTGCTCACCCTCTTGTCTATTCTAAGGTCAAATAACAGTGCAAGCGGCATAATTCAAAACCAAGCTCCCATGGATGCAAAGTACGGTAAATGCGATTGCTATTGAATTGATCCCTCATGGTCAACTACCCCGTCAATTGGCAAAATGCAAAGACTGTTTCCTGAATAGTCAGAAGCTGAAGACTGTTATTTTAAACTTAACAGTTGCCAAATGTTACACCTGTGTATAATACAGAAGCCTGTAAGTTGGACCTGTCTTGTTGTCTGTGTTGCTCGCTCTGAGTTACCCAAAGTGAAGCGCTAACATGTCAGAGAAGATGAAGAAGAGCGGCATCCACGTGCAGTTCACTTCCTTCTCCATCGCAAGAAAAGCTTTGTCATCAATAAATCAGTTGTGTATGCATAATACATGCCGATCTGTGCATCTGAGCAAACACACACATACACATATGAAAGAACTGACAAAAAGTACCTAAAGCTCTGCTCCAAAGCCGTGACTGAGTGAAAACTATGCAAGAGGACTTATTTACCTCTTGTGTTGTTGGTACCCATTTAAGCAACATGCAAACATGACCTTGTGCTCTTTTGTAACTTCTTGTGCGGTATGAAGCCCACGGCGCGGTTGGGTTGTGTCTGACACATCTCAGGCTCTTGGAGAAAGCCGTGTGATGCAGTTTGAGTGATGAGAGGCGATATTAGAGAGGCGGAAAGAGACGGATGGACACTGTTCACCTCATCCTGAGGCAGGCAGCTGAGAACCGCATGCACAAACAGGTGAATAAATGTGACTTTGAGTTGAAACGCACACCAACAATGGATACAGCTCCCCTCATGAGAGTTAACGCCAAACACGTTTAGTTTTCAAGGTTATAGGCGCTGTTTAAAATGGACAGCATTGACTGCTACCCACAGAAGCTCCACAGCTTAATCCATGCTCACATTTCAACACTGCCATGAAGGAATGTATGCATACAAGACATCCCAACATCTCTGACATAGCCCATTGAGCACACACACATGCACACACACGGAGTCACGCTCCAGTGATGCCAGTGGAGCAGAGCAGATGAAGCTGCCAGCCAGCTCGACCAATCCGCCGGCCCTGGTCCGTTACCTTTCTCTTTTGTTCCCGGGACGCTGCTCTCCTGCTCTTCCTCCGCTTCTCCTTCTCGTCCTCTAATGCATTCACATCCACTTCCCCCCGATTCTTCTTCAATTGGGAGGCCGCGTGAGCCATGATAGGTGGTAAAAAATGAAGAAGCACCCCACACTACACACGCGTGCCTCACCTGAAATCCTGGAGAAGTTCAGGGGCTGTAATTGACAAAACCAGGATCTCAGAGGAAAAAATCGGGGCAGAAAAGGAAAGGGGGGGAAAGGGAAGAAAAATGCCCTCCTTGAAAAGGAGAATGGAGAAGAGTAGGGTTTCTTTTATGTAAGTATGAATATATCCTGTGTGTCCTCTCTTTTTGGTTGTGTGTCCTCTCTTTTTGGCTGTTGCTCTGCTCTGTCTTGTCTTTTAAAGTGATGGAGCGATGAGAGAGAAGAGGCAGCAGATTCTCTTCATCTCCTCCTCCTCCTCCTCGTGTGTCATCCGCTGGCAGTGTGAGAGGAGCACGTCCAGGAGAGGTGAGGACAAACGGGATGGAGAGAAAAGAGACACGAGAACCACCAGCACAGAGGTGGAGGGAGGAGAAAGAAAGAGGGAGGGAGAATGTAGGTGGAGGGAGGGCAGAAGCTAGGGGAGTGGTTTCCACGGTAACAACGCTCTGTTTCAGTCCATTATTTTAAACTCCCATTTTCCCTTTTTCCCTCTCTTTTTCCTTGCACTGTTATCTTACACAGTGTATTTCTGTGTGTGTGTGTGTGTGTGTTTGTGAGTGAGTGAGTGTGTGTGTGTAATACACTGTGAGTAGCTGAGTGCATGAATGAAACGGAGGCAGGGTGGTAAGGATGCACAGTGAGCGTGTGTGTGCATGATTGCCGTTTACTATCACACCCACATACACACATTACCAGCTGGTGGTGGCCCAGTAAAGGGATGGTAATGAGGAGTCCATGCGAAGGACATGTGTAAAGTCAAAGAGGGATCACATCAATTAAAGCCTCCAACCCAAACACACACCATACAAAGGTACATTCACACACCATTACTGACAATTTCATAGTTCAAGTTGTGACAATGTGTCCAAATTTTGATTGATTTGTGTCGTACCCATAGAATACATACCGCAGTTAATGGCAAGCCAAACCCATTAAGATAATGAATAAACCAGTCAACATACAATGAATGATTCAGTATGATCAATTAATAATTTATTAACTAACAATTTAATGCCCATGTCCCTGATTTCTCACTTCTCACTCCTGTGCTTCTTCAAGCTCAACATGGCCAGCTCATCGGGGATCCCTGACACCAGGTCAGAGAGGACGAGGGGACCTTTTGTTTCACTACATCACACGTCTTTGTTGAAATTAGACTAAACAGAGAAGAAGGGGAGGAGGGAAAGAAAGGAGGGAACATCTGCACACAGAGAAGAACGGAGGGGCGATGAAATAATTTATCTTTGTGACTGAGGGTTGAAGCAAAGCGGCACAGGGTGAGCAGAAGCAGGTCTTTTTTTTTAGGATGCCCTTCACCACAGCCATTCTCATGTCAGACATACACAGCCTGGAGACAGATGGAGCACGCAGCAGCCATCTTTGTGTTCCTTCCCCTGCCTGCCTGCGTGTTCAAAGCACCTATGAGCATTTCTGGGTCCTTTCTAAACAGAGAGGCTGCCTCGTAACATGCCTGTCTGCTGTTTATAAAATCAACATTTTTTTTGTTTGTTTCTCATTATGTGTATATGGACCAAATATGGAATACATGCAGAGAAGCTGACAATAAGAAAGGAGATGATAAGGCACTGCTGTTACAGAAACCCTCTTGGGAGAGATGATAGGTTTTAGGCGGTGGACACCAGTCATGTAACGATATGCGCGTGAAATTCCCTTTTCTCTCCCTCAAATCTATTCATCCATGCCACTTCATTTTTCTTTCTTTTCAATCACAAGCACCAGCCACCAGCAATAAAAAGGGGGTGAAGTTGACTTACAGCCCCCATCATGCATCAGGGGGTGTCACATCATGCCAAATTATCATGCGGTTGCTAGGTGAGGGCCAATGGGATGGCTTTGGGGAGGATAGAATGGATGGATAAGGAGCATGGAGAGGTAAGAGGAAAGACTGAGACTGGAGAGAGCAGAGGGTGGGTGCATGCATGCAAGTGTGTGGATGCATGGAAAATAAATGTACACATGATCACGATGGAAAAATGATATTTAGAGAAGAGAAAAAAACCTTTGTCCAAGAAGAAATATGCAAACAGAAATTATCTTGAGAGAAAACTGTAAGATTTGTGAGCAATAATGGAACTGCCAGTGATTTCTAAAGATTTTTTTTCTTCGAGTAAAACTCCATTCACACTGACAGCCAGAAGACAGTCACAACACTACCAGCTCATGATGTAGTAAAAACCTCAGCCAAGGTGTCCAGTATTTCACACATTTTGCAGGCAGAGAGAGATAACAATGAGTACAATAAAAAATATCAGGCTGATGAACTCCAGAGGTTGAACATTATTGGATGCTTTCCACTACTTTCCAGGCACTGTGCCATTTGCACACAATCAGAGTAAAACCACCACGACCACAGTCAGCTAAGGTTGGGAAATTATAAACAAAAAAGTAATAAAATTATAACAGAAAAATGCATGTAAAATGATTAAAATGGAAACAATAACAAGCCAAAGTATAAATCATAATAATATATAATAATAAATCATGTTGCTATACGTGCAATGCACCGTAATATGGATGTTGAACAAGTTAATGTGTAAGGCTCTTTTGTTTATCGGTTCTTCTGGAAGCTTTTCCTTTTCCCAGTAAGAGAAATGCTACAATCGTCAACATATTTTGAATCGATAGTACAAGCAACAATGGCCTTGAAATCTGATCAGACATTTCACATTAAGTCATCCACTCATTCTTTTAAAATGACACGATCAAGGAATTAATGAAACCAAGCAGAGTGGAGGTCATCCCACCATATTGTGATGGGTATTAAAATGATCAACAAGTAATAAACCTAAGTGCAAAGTGAAAAACAGCATCAAAGGTTTAGAAAATGTCCTATAAATCTCACAATGTGCGTGAACATGGATGACAAGGACCATAAATCTTCCTGTGAGCGTGGATGTTCCTGGAAGCACTTTGTTTGGCTCCATGTGTTATCTGTGGCAGCTACCCTGTAGTGTGTTTGACTTCCTCTTTGCTGCTGCGTCTCCCACAGGTGCAACATGACCAATCGCAGCATCAATCTCATTGGCCTTTTTGTCCTCTGAACACGGCAGCGTGTCTCAATACACTAACAAAAACTAGCAAAGCAAGCATTTAATCTGCGGGACTTGAGCTGGATGTGTCACTTTGAGGTTGCACAACACCGACAACACACATTACTGAGGGGCTTTTTTGAGTGGCACCGCTCCAAGAAAGTGAGATGTTATCATAAGTTGCACGAGTAAGTCAATCTTTCCATTTTATTTCAAATTTCTTGTAAATCAAACGAGAAGTTTCCTCCTACCTCATTCTATCCAACAATCCTACCATTGTTCTGTTATCTAAACCTTACTTATTCCAGTTTCAAATAGAAATAAAGTCATTATCCCTAAAAATCTACTCTATAGTAATTGTTGGAATAAATTATGAATAAAAATATTTTGTGTTTCTTTAGATAAAAAGAAACCGACAAATGGGCCATATGAAGTACACTATATTGCCAAAAGTATTTGCTCACCCATCCAAATTATCGGAATCAGGTGTTCCAATCACTTCCATGGCCACAGGTGTATAAATTCAAGCACCTAGGCATGCAGACTGTTTTTACAAACATTTGTGAAAGAATGGGTCGCTCTCAGGAGCTCAGTGAATTCCAGCGTGGAACTGTGATAGGATGCCACCTGTGCAACAAATCCAGTCGTGAAATTTCCTCGCTCCTAAATATTCCACAGTCAACTGTCAGCTGTATTATAAGAAAATGGAAGTGTTTGGGAACGACAGCAACTCAGCCACGAAGTGGTAGGCCACGTAAACTGACGGAGCGGGGTCAGCGGATGCTGACGCGCATAGTGCGAAGAGGTCGCCAACTTTCTGCAGAGTCAATCACTACAGACCTCCAAACTTCATGTGGCCTTCAGATTAGCTCAAGAACAGTGCGCAGAGAGCTTCATGGAATGGGTTTCCATGGTCGAGCAGCTGCATCCAAGCCATACATCACCAAGTGCAATGCAAAGCGTCGGATGCGGTGGTGTAAAGCACGCCGCCACTGGACTCTAGAGCAGTGGAGACGCGTTCTCTGGAGTGACGAATCGCGCTTCTCCATCTGGCAATCTGATGGACGGGTCTGGGTTTGGCGGTTGCCAGGAGAACGGTACTTGTCTGACTGCATTGTGCCAAGTGTAAAGTTTGGTGGAGGGGGGATTATGGTGTGGGGTTGTTTTTCAGGAGCTGGGCTTGGCCCCTTAGTTCCAGTGAAAGGAACTCTGAATGCTTCAGCATACCAAGACATTTTGGACAATTCCATGCTCCCAACTTTGTGGGAACAGTTTGGAGCTGGCCCCTTCCTCTTCCAACATGACTGTGCACCAGTGCACAAAGCAAGGTCCATAAAGACATGGATGACAGAGTCTGGTGTGGATGAACTTGACTGGCCTGCACAGAGTCCTGACCTCAACCCGATAGAACACCTTTGGGATGAATTAGAGCGGAGACTGAGAGCCAGGCCTTCTCGTCCAACATCAGTGTGCGACCTCACAAATGCGCTTCTGGAAGAATGGTCAAAAATTCCCATAAACACACTCCTAAACCTTGTGGACAGCCTTCCCAGAAGAGTTGAAGCTGTTCTAGCTGCAAAGGGTGGACCGACGTCATATTGAACCCTATGGATTAGGAACGGGATGTCACTTAAGCTCATATGTGAGTCAAGGCAGGTGAGCAAATACTTTTGGCAATATAGTGTATGACTCTCTTTGGACAGGCATGTATTCTTTGTAGTTTGCTGCCATCTAGCGGTAATTTGGATCAACCGTACAAAACATCTCAAGGGTAAGCAGCCTGTTTTAAAGTACTTTTGATATTAGAAAGAATCAAAGCCTCAACTTACAAGTCAAAAAGGGTAGAAACTTAATTGCATGAAAT